TCCTTTTCATTGATCCTTGTGCGTGTTGCTAGTTTGCATGTGATCGCATAGTACGAAATGGTATCATCTTGCAACGCGTCTTCCCATTGCATTGTTCAGGATGGCGATGTGTTTGTTCACTGTCCGGCTTCACAGGTACAACTAAACGCCGCGCTAGTCGACAAACTCGATTATTTCGAGATCTCTGAATATGCTTGAAACCGACTAGAGGTTCATAATTGCAGACGCTTTTGACGCAAGAGCTTTTTCAGTCCAGATGAGTAGGCGCATAATTGACCTAGCTTTCAGTGGCAAAGTAGGGTGATGATTGGGAGCAATACCACGACGCAGTGGATAATAAGTCAATAGGTCAAATGAAAGCAATTACTTTCCTTTAACAATGTGAAAAGCTCAACAAAAAGACGATATTTGGTAGATGCAAGCATTTCGTGTCGTCTCTTCAGTACCAGTAGGAACAACCAATGAGAAACCATAGCAAACGGCTAATGTGACCAAAAAATAAACAAACTGAGTGGTCAAGATGGGCGAAAACGATTCGATCCTTATGTTCACGGAACCTTCTGACTGACGAATAACTGTTTGTGCACACGCAGCATAGACTGATGCCAAACGGTTACTCTCGAAGGTTTATAAAGAAGCACAGCCAACCACGAAGAAAAAAGGACTTGGTACAGAATGCAACCAAGAAGAAAGTTTATATCGAATTACTTTTCAAGGGTGATATCGCCACCTTAAGGGCCACCAGGGGATTGATCACTGCTGCACCTAGAACCTACTATGCTACTCAGATCGTCGTCATCAACCGAACCAGCATCTTGCCAGTACCTCATGCGAAGGAAACTCTGCCAATCGGCACCAGCTCCCAATGTGTATAGCAGTTCACATATAACAGAGGATCCAGTTACCTTGGCAGTACCGATAGAACATTGTCTTCCCGTATGAAGGAACACATACCGAAGTAGATCCTGTGTGAAGTAAACGAACGACCTTATCCTCCCGAAGCCCTGTCGTTGCGTAAGCCGCCGGCGTCCTCCAAAGGTAAACACTTATTGATTACTGGTCACCGGATCTGGCTCCATACTGCATTCCAAATTTTTTTGCGGCACTCAATCCGCTATTTCTTCGGTTCACTGAGGCTATCGGGATTCGCCGAATGCAGCCTATGCTGTGCGTGCACTAACAGCTATTCGTTAGTCTCAAACTTCCGTGGACAAAAGGACCGAACCGTTTTCGCCGATCCTGATCCACAAGTTTGCTTCTTCTTTGGTCACATCCGCCGTTTTACTATGCTTTCTCATCGGTGGTTCTTATTGGTACTGAAGGGACGACACGAAATGCTTGCATCTACCAAATGTCGTCTTCGTGCTGCACTTTTCAACTAGGACAAATGGCCATTCTCATGCAGCAAAAAACATCGAACGTTCCCCATCGATCCACGTCACAGGTCGTTCACATGTGAGGCATTCTTGCTGCTGCTGCTGCTGCTGCCGCCGCCGCCGCTGCTGCTGCTGCTGTCTGTTCCATTTCTAATTTGATTGGGACGAAGTGGAAGTTGGTTCGTACTAACCCAACCTCTCCTTGAGTATTTGAGGTGCTTGTGCCGGCCTCGATTATGTGCTTTCCACCTCCCGGCTACGTCGGTTTTGCTCGCCTGGTGGATAAGTTACCATCGCACATTGCGCCGTCCGGTGCAGGTCAGTGCCATCTACGGACGGTTCGCTTGACCAAAGGCGTGCCTGACTCACAACGCTCCAACCTAATTCCCCTGTGTTCACCTGGCCCGTGTAAGCGTGATCAACTTACGCTCGCGGCGCTGATTGGCTTTCCAATCTGCTGGCCGCGCGTCGGCTTCGCTTACGGATCCTGCCTGCTACGATTACAATCCGTTTCGCTAAATATCCTCATTTCGTTATAGGTATTGGCACACTCGATGTATGGTCGATTGTCACATGGTCAACAAGGCGGTCTTCCTTCCACCTCGTTTGAGCTGATCCGCAAATTTTTTATTTAAATTTTCGCCGCTGTTGTGCACCCGCATAGGGTCACTTATCTTTGTATGCGCCACTGATTCACTCAACCTGCCGCCACTGGTCGAACCCAATGAACTCCGCTGAGTTCTCCAATCTCTCATCGGCTTTACTATTTTATTCCTCTTTTCTGCGTTTCACTGTGTTACCGACGTGCGGATCAACACCGTGAATGTTTTGGTGTCACCGGTCGTTTGACTACTCACAGTTGGTCGAACTCGAGAAGTGTACGGTTGCTTACCAGTCAGTTGGTTTATCGTATCCGACCGGGGATGGAGTGTGGTTTTAGTCGTGTCTGGCTGGTAATCCATGTGCCACCGTTCCGAATCTGCAGAGGTACAAACAACCATGCGGTATCCTATCCTTCACGCAACCACTGATGGTTGCGTGGCGGTACACAGTACCGAGGCTTCGCTGCCGCACAGGCACCACCATACGCGCGTGAACTAAGGAACCAGCTACGGTAGTGCAGTCTCCTAGGCAGGCTCGAATCCTCGACCTCAGAATTATAAGGCAGGCTTGTTATCCTTAAGACCACGAGCGGGCTGGTTTCGTGGCAATGACGTGTCGACTCAAGGTCCATCTTTCCCTCCTCCTCTTGACATTCGTATTCCACTTTCATGGCGGATGTCTTCTGTTCCTTCAAAAAAATGTCGGGTCAACGTCACCAGCGGTGTTCGAGAAACACTGTGTGTAGCCTTAAATCCGTTGTCTATTCGCTACAATATAATAGTCACACTGAGCTTCGTGTCATCTTTTCTACGAACCCCTTGCTTCTCTCGTCCCATGTTCGTGAATAATTACGTGGAATGTGCTATTCAATCTCCGCTATATGGCATAGGTTTTTGCCACCGTTCTTGTCTTCGCCTGCATGAACCACCTCAGCACTTCATTCGTCCGTTCGGATACCTTGTGGTCATCGCGGGAAATCTGCTTGTTACTTCCTCGATTATTGCTTTGCGTAACCCTGATCCTTACGTTGGAACTGCATTCTGTCTGATCAACCTCATCTTCGGAAAATGGCGATCTTAAATTTGATCTTAGTTATTCGTTACTTTTCCTACTAGACTAGTACATAGTTTTTTGTGTAGATTCGTCGCTGTTAGACACAGACAGACAGCCACCACACATCCAGGAAAGCGCTAGATGGCCGTTTTGCTCTGGGGGCCAGCCCTGTCCTCTGCACATTATAACATGCAAGACAGTGGAGGATGAGCCGCGCTATATCGCAGTTAGATAGCAGTCATGGCGGTCCGCTGCCGTCGCCCATGGCTCAGTGACATAAGCCGCTGACTCGCAAGAGTAAGGTCGTGGGTTCGAATCCGGCAGTATTCGGCGGGTACGCGCTACTAACGAGTCCCAATAGGACGAAAAGGCCATCTAGCGCTTTCCTGGATGTGTGTTGGCTGTCTGTCTGTGTCTAACTGCGATGAACCTACACAAAACCTAATAAATCCCCCTACTACTTATAAATAGTACATAGTTTTCACCGACCCATTTTCGAGTTGATTTTTTCGTTTTTAGCACCCTTTTTCTTTCGCCATAATTGACTGCTAACAGTACTGAACTCGTTGTACACAGGTGCCTTAATTGACAAATCAGACAGCACAGAGTTGCAATGGTAAATTACTTCTTTTTCCTCCACCATCTGCTAGCTTTTTGGCGCTTTTTTGATCACTTTTGAGCAGTCGAATTCGGCTGGAGTTAATGGAAATGCAGTCGTGCCTCTGTCGCATGGAAAGATGTGAGGTTACTCCGTGCGTATGGCACTCGATTTAATTAACAGTTTCGCGGTTTTTCTGTAGTGGTTTTGGCACATGTCTGAATCCAGTCTTCCGAGATATCTTTGTAGATGGGGCACATGCGCTCGATTTGAAGCCGACTGTTACATTGTTCACCTGCTGACATCAATATTGTGATGGCCACCCTACATCTTTCTTTTTTTTCACTTCTGCCCGCCCAATTGCCCTAAATCTGCTTGTGTATCATTTAAAGGAAAAATCTTACCTTCTACGTGTGCCTTAGGAGTCCACAGGCTACAGGGCGATCTCGGCGGTCACTGGGCGATCACATGAGAATCTATCAGCCTCTAAAATATCCACTTTTGAAACTCATCGAAACGTCTTTTTGAGCGGTCATCAGTTTAAGTTGATCACGCAATACAGCCGACTAGAGCGTCGATGAAACATTTTCTCCCTCCGATTGTCACAACCCTGGAACTCCCTGCACTCACTGTTCAACAAACGACTTGACGGTATACTTAAACTTACGGCGTTAGTGCATAGCAAACAAGAATACTCGCATCTGTGCTACTGCGAATCTCTTAGTGATTCATGCAACTTGCAACTTGTGGTTTTCATCCTATCCATCATACGGCACTTATCTAACATATGCTTTTTTATCCTTTACAAACCGTTGCCCTATTGCAATCACATGCAGACGGTGTTGCCCCATTAGAGGTGTCAATGCTGATGACCGAATCGCCCACCAGCCTTCACCTTTCATTGATCGGTGTCTAAATTAATGGTCTAGATACGAATTCATGATGACTTATGATTCTCTCCCCTCGTCACTGTTCTCGGTCTTTGGAAGGTTTTCATTTACAATTTCTGTCTCTCATTTCTCTACATTCCATCTGTCTTTCACTGAATAGCATGATTCTCTAGTCCATCAAGCTGAGACACTTCTCCGCCTCGAAGATGAACCATTTTCATCCGGAGAATTCAAGCACAGATGGCAGTAACCGAAGTTCTAGCATAGCTTCAATGTGTTTTGAAGCGACCACGCTACCCAATGTTTTGTTTGACTCTGTTTTACGGACGTTAACCATTGAGAAGTGAATCGATCTATTGACTTTGGATTCTTAATCCGTTCCGAGTTCCCCATTAACCGGTTGCTTCAGTAATTTCGCATTCTCGGTTCTCACCATTCCATTGGCCACCGGTTAGAATCATTGTTTTATTTGTTTTGCAGCTGAATTGCCCAAAATTTGTACCGGTCACGGGGAATTTCGCAACGGTGTGTGCAACTGCTATCCCGAATGGAAAGGCCGTGAATGTGAAGTGCTCTGGTCCGAATGCGCCGATCCAACGTGCTCTGGCAACGGACAATGCATCACTGGAGAGTGCCAGTGTTATCGAGGCTTCTCTGGTTCATTGTGCGAAGAAAGTGAGTTGCACTTTGCTTTATATCACACAATGCTATCGTTCTGTTTACCCCGAAGCAGCATCACATCTGATGGTAGAGTTTACGCGCATGAACATCGCTCCTCATTTAATGCTCGCATTCATCAGCCCAGTGGGTCATTTGCCTCAGTTGTACTTCAGCTGGTTTAGTAGTTTCGATCAAAGAATTTTTCCTCGCAGTTAGGCGCACGTGATCCGTCCTTATACGTCTGTTCGGACTCGGAGACCATTTCGCCCGTCGAGCCCCTTTTAGTAATACTGGTTCCCTTTGATACTGCTGAACGCGGATCCCGAAACTTTGCTTTTCCGAACCACTACTGAATCAGTAAGAGCATTAGGAGCCACTCAGAACATTGGAGACATTTCTGGTATCGCCATAGCTTATCCCCCAATGTCACCTATGTTGCGTAGCACCTTCAGCGTGAACTTGCATTTTTGAGGTGAAATAAAAGCGTGGTTCGGACGGCTTTCTTTCCTATTTATTTACAAACGGTGGTGGCCCACTTTCGGTTGGATTAATTGCTGTGTACTCAACACTACGTCGGGCACTTCATATGTACAGTGTTGCGTGCTTCGCGCCTTCAGAGTACAACGTTGCCTCACGGGGCTGAGCTAACACAGAACCGGTTACAGCAGTTACCGAGCAATAACTATTTGCAGCACCTTGAAGCGTTATTGTAATCATGTCACGTCTAGTGGCCTATTCACCTGTGAGATTGCGAAATGGCTTTCGATACCTCTGTTACGTATGTGATCTGAGCCTGCTGATTATAGGAAATGTGCACATCGTTGCACTCCAGATTGTGTTACCGTATCAAACAATTACGTAACCACTGTGATGACACCCTTCAGATGCCGAATCTGGCATTTGCTTTGCAGACATTTCATCACTCAACGAAACGTACCTATATGTGATGTTCCTCTTGTATACTAAGCTTTATGCACATTCTTCGTGTTAGTAATTTCGGATCATCCTTATTGGTCACACTGGTTTGGTGTCTTTGGTATACATAATTGATTACAATTAGTTCTATGGAAATCGTTGCTTCTTTTCTTTGGGTTGGTAGCGATTCCGTTGTTCTAAAGGGCCCATAATCTTTGGAATAGGCTTACTTGGACTTTTCCGTTGGTTGTTCTGCTGATCATCATCATCATCATACTACACGTTAGCCAGAGGTGGGGAACACCTCAGCTACTGTGCCGCAATACACAGAAAAAAAAGAAAAAAAGCAACTGGTGCAAGCTGTCTGAGCTACCTGTAACGCATGGGCATCGTTCTGGTAAGCTACCAGCCGGTTACTGTGCATCAAAAAAATTGCTATGCAAAATTATATAAGGCTAAATAATGAGATCGTGGTTGGAGGGGAAGGCTAAGAGGGATGGGGTGGGACAGAGAAACTCACAGCACGAACGCCACTGAGGTCGGCTCCTTGCCATGTCAGCAAGTGTGTCCAACCAAACGTGTTCATCGTCTTTCGGACCCAAACCAGGCAGCCGAGACGCTCCAACCGACGCCAGCTCAGGAGTGAAGGTCTTCATTCCTCTGGACCAAGTCATCGCTTGGCCACCCCTCCTCTTCTTCCATCCACACCCCCGGCGCGCAAACAACGCACGTCGCGGGAGTCGGTGGGCTGGCATGCGCAACGCGTGGCCCAGCCAACGGAGCCTGGTGCGTGAAATAACGGTGCTGAGCGGTTCAGTTCCTTTTCCTGTGCTGTTAACAAGGCGTCAAACACGCTCGTTGCTCACGCGGTGTTCCCACTAGATGTGATCTAAATTGCGAAGACACCGGTGGTCGAACGTAACTAGCCTCTTCAGATCCGTTGCTGATGGTCACAGCAATATCCATACAACCAAGTATAATCACTCAATTCTGCTAGAGACCTCGGATTAGTAACTAATCGGGTTTATTTGCGCTTACTAACGCCCGAAAGGCATATAAAGCCCAATATTCACGATGAGCGCCATCTCTTGGTACGCACTGATGGCTACAGGATTTTCAGGATCCAATTGTCAAGCTCAGTGAGCACATGAACAGGCAACTTGATTTACCGGTGTTTCAAAGCATCTAGACTACATCATTGTTTGATCATTGATTTCTATGTTGAGTCGCTCAAATTTCGTGAATGAGGTTGGCATCCATTAGCTTGTGTTTGGCACCAAACCTTGCAGTGCAGCACGCGATCATCTTGTGTACTTGAATCACCTGCTCTCCTCTTCGATCATGTCAACCGTTTGCATGTTGACCGGCTCATGGTTGGGTTGTGCCTCAGATCGGACAGCTGATTACGGGACGAAAGGCCCGATTAAATTGACTGTGTGCAACTTGATCCGGCTGGCAAGTACAGCTTTCCCAGATGGGGACTTCCGATTATGTTCGCTTCATTGGCTGACGCGATCATGCTGGTAGTGGAACTGTTGTGTACAGCTTCTTGCATCTGTTTCTGCTTTTCTTACTCCACTACTCTAACTTTCTCCTGCTAACTCTTTTCCCTACGGATTTGTGACCATACCGTCTTTCAACGTTTTCTCTTACGTTGTGACCTTACGGCTCCTTGCACTTGAGTCTATCACGCTTGAGTACTCAAATAATTGAGTTGAACTGATCCGTGATGACATCTGATCAAGTTTTACCCGCTTCCCAACGCCGCCACTAAATTTCGTTTTTCGTCAACCGTGGCCGTAATTGGCGAACTCGGGGCGGAGGTGCGCTATGGCTGATCGCCGCGTGCTTGTCGATGCCACAGAAAGTCAACTTCGCCAACTTTCCACGCGCTCCCATTAACAGCTGGACCAAAAACTGTGTGTTGGTATGGAAAGCGCAATAGGATGCGATTGTAATGTCGTCGTTATTCCATCACTCTGTTCCGTACTCTGCTTCTCTCTACAACCCCCCACCCCCACCCCCTGGGCCTGATTGCATTTCCGGTCTGATGGGTTTTGGCTCAGCCTTGTGTCATACACATGCCTCACCTTGGTCCGCCAGACCCAGTCGCCCGTGCGAACGCCACCCCATACCATTGCTACATACATTCGTCATCGTCGATGATTATCACCGTCTGGATTAGCCATTCCGATTCTGTCACTCTGTGCCCAAACACGCATGATGAATTCTTCCATTGATGACCGTTGGAAGTCGCGCCAGTTGATGGGCAATTGCACCTAACACACATGTGATGTGGATGAAGATGTTGGGTTGTTCCCCGAATTCTAAGCGACCTGTTCTCAGATGTCTCGTCACCACCAAATCAGACATTGCCACTGCAAGTTTACGCTACTATTGTTACCTGCGATGGGTATTGAACGTGGTAAAAATATCCGAGAATTAGTACTGTTGCATCAACACCACCCTCGCTTTATTTGTCGTCGTCGTAATAACGAATGTTTTCGGGAAACGGATTTTTAGTTACTTTCTCCCTTTATATGCCGGGGAAATGTTTTCGGACAGAAAACGTCCGCATCAAGAGTTACCGAGAAAACTTGTATTTTTGACAATTCCTCGTTGGACGATGGGAATCAGAGATTAACACCAGCTATTTACATGCTGTAGATCAGTGGAATGCATTAGTTACTCGTCATGGTTATGTGATTGGACTAAGTTGCTATATGAGGAAGTTGATTTGCCAACTGTCACGATACTAGTCGGCTTATGGCCGAGATAAGCAGAGCCCCTGACCAAATTTCTGAGCTGAATAGCGACCGCCTGTACTATAGTTTACGCGCAGTATCTGGCTGCTCAGATCTGGTGCATGAGTACTCGGCAGATGAGCTGGAAGGTCTGATTCCTGTTAACTTGGTGGTGGTTCGAATCCGCCAGACACTGCAACATCGCGCCCGTTATGCCGGGCGCTCTCGCACAGTAACCTGCCAGTTCTTCTACTATACCTTACTCTCCTTTTCTCAGCCATTGCAAGTTACTTTTATTGCTCTTTGTTCTTATTAGTTTATAGATTCGGAGACTGTTGGTCGATGTATTTGTTGGGAAATGTTTCCCTTTGGACACATAAGCCTCGTCAGACCACATGAGTCACGATACCTGAATCTGTTCTGCTTTGGAATACGGACTATAACTGAGCATCCGGGCTGGATTGGACCTTAGTTTCAAACTGCCGCCATCTTGTTGACAGAGTTCCTTTCCTCGTCATTTTCCCAGAAACCCATGTCTATAGCGACTGTGACTAAGCGCGCGTGCTTGGTGAGCGATACTCAAGCGTCATTCTCCTTGAACCAGCTATGCCATGTATAGAACTAGTCGCAAGAGTCCCTGAAGTCCCTTGTCTGGACGAAATTGATGTGACGGAGTCTCAATTTGTCGGGTTGCTGGGGAAAGTGAACCCCACTAAGACTCCTGGGCTAGATTCTGTTCATTATGGACTGCTACACGAATTGGCACGCAACCCTTGGCTTGTGCAGCTCTGTATTCGATCCATAGTTATGTCCTGTCTTCTGATTAGAAAGAGGCTGTAATCCAAAGCAAAGTTGGACTTGGCTGTAATCTACCCGATTTTCAAGAGTGGTGACAAGGATCTACCGGCTACTTATAAACCTGTCAGTTGGACTAGCTTCGTGCCTAAACTACCCGAAAATTGGTAAGAGATTCAGTAGAGAACCACTGGGATAAATTCAATTTGCTCGGTGTCGCGCAACGAAGTTACTAGAAGCTCAGGAGAGCTGAGTTGAGGCTGTGTACAACGGAAACGCTGTGGACATCCCGTTCGTTGACTTCGCTTGGGGATTTGACACTGACCCCATGCATGACTCCCACTAAATTTGAGATTTTTTTTGATGGCAGCAGCTCCCATGGCGCAGTGTGTACGTGTGGAAAGCAGTTTTCGTTTCGACAAGCTGTCCTTAGCGGCGTCCCGCAGGGCTCTGTCCTGGGGTCGCTGCTGTTCGCAGTCTACGTAAACGACTTGCCTGAGGAGCTTGAGGTGCCAATGCTCTTATTTGCTGATGACTTAAAGCTCTGCAATATTGCGGGTT